AAAAGAAAGTAAGCGCAATGATCGACCACGACGTCCTGGAACGGGTCGAAGCGGAAGGAGGCATCACACCAGCGGGGAGAATGTACAAAGCTATCTATCGGACGATGGAGCGCCGCAAACGCACCGAGCGGCCGGCCCCGAAGGGCGCAGGCCCCGAAGAAGTCAAAAGGCTGAGAGCTGAGAATCAAGCGATGAAGGAGAAGATCGATGAAGCCACCCGACTCTTACGCTCTGCTTGAACCCTGGATCTTTCTGACTGGAGGCGAATGGTCTTTTCCTTTCCATTGTATTAGACTGGCTGTATTGCAAAATCTATCGATTGTTGAGACAATGAGGTTGCGGGTTGAATGCTGAAGTAGCCAATTCGTGAGGCGAAGTTGCAACTTGAAAGATGCTGAACTTGAAAGCAAAGATTGGGACGCTGCGGAATATCGAGAAATCCATTCTATCCTCCCAACAAGCATGGAAGTCTATCCCGGCACAATACCATCCTGAAACTCTCTACCGCTTTGGCTCCAGCCTTGTGTCACGTTCTATAATTTGGCCTGCTTCTGGTTCGAAAAAACGGCCTTATCATGCACGCACGTGACACACAGCTTCCCGTTCACGTAAATCTTGCCCATAATGTTTGCCGTATTCCGCCCGGCAGCTTGAACCTCGCAATCCACGATCGCTTTACTGCCCATAGGCACCGGGCGCAAGTAACTCATGGTGATGGTCCTGCTGACATGTCCGCCATCCAGGAATCCATCCCTCGCAATCGTCAGTAGCGCCGTGCTCGTCAGGTTATCCAGCAACGTGGCCGCGGCGCCGCCGTGCAGGTTGCCGGACTTGTTGCACAGCTCCGGTCCAATCTCCAGACTCCATTTGACGGTATTCGGCTGAGCGTCGAGCAGTTCCAGGTTCGCGTGTTGGAGTGAGTGTGTGTCGAAGCCGAAGTATTTGGGGTCGTTGAGGATTTCCTTCTCGAGGCCCAGGACGCGCTCGCGGAGCGGCAAAGACAGGAAGTTTTGAATCTGGAAGACTTTCCTGTGGGGATTTATTCTGTTGGTTTCTGACATGGTTGTGATTGTAGAAGAACAGTTCCCGGGTCTTGAACTGTGTGTTTGAATGGGCTCTGGTTGGGTGCTGATATTCCGGCACCAAGGTCAAGTCACAAGTAAGCGGGTTTCTCTGTTTCCCAGAGCCGTTCAAGAGATTGAATGGGAAGAGAATCCCAAGGTTGCAATATTGTAAGTTGATTGGGCTCGATGGGAATCAGCAAGGTAGCGAACTATAAAGCGACTCGAGGACGTTGGCTGAAGTTGTTCAAGGCGTGCATGGCGTAGATCAAATTGTCAGTTGCCGAGGTTCAAATTCCTCGGCCGCTGCACGTGGAGATAAGATAAGGGGACTTGGTGGGAGGGTACGAGCGCAGTTCGGCCTCCGCCATTTCTCGGTGCCATTGCGGTCTTGCGCAGTCAGCCTTCCCTCCGGCCTGTGGGCGAAGTAGCACCAAATCACATAGCCATTGGCTCAGACGAATGTCGCCCTCCCCCCTCTTGGGATGCGTGATTACGATGCAACACAGTCGGCTCCATACGGTAAGTGCCAATCAATTGACGGCTCGAGGGTAAAGGTCTTGTTTGAGGCGCGTCTTGGACTCTTGGACCCAGACCTGGTCTTAGCATAGTGAGGCTGATGCGCATTCCAGTCCCCATCGTTGTGAACACCGCCAACGTTGCCTTTCCTCCATATCCACTCCCTCGATCCATCTTTGTTTCAGCCTTTCAACCGATCGTCGACACGGCCCTGAGTAACCCCCTTTCTTGAACATGGTCTGGTTGGAAGGGTGGTGTTATTGTTACGACGATGGACGAGGACGACAGTGTCGATAATGCGACCTCTCCTGAGAACAACAAACCATCCAGACGGGAGCGGCTCAAGGGGGCACTGGCCCGGACGAAGAGCAAGTTCAAAAAGAACAATAACGATACCAATGAAGAGGGAGATCTTCCTGATGACGTGAACGAGTTTTTGGCTGCGGGCAGGACATCTACCTCGAGCTGGCTATCGCAAGGAGACAGCCTTCCGCATCCGATATCCACGAGCGTCCCCAACCCCTCCCTTGACCAGAATTCTCCGGCCTCTACACGACCATCGACGTCTGATTCATTCATCAATCCCTCTGCCTCTCAACGTTCACCGAAAAAGGTCCCTGTCCCAAGAATTGATGTCTCCAACGCGCAACGTTGGCCCCGAGCTCAGCCTATTGGAACCTCGGAGCAGGACATCAACGACTTCTTGCGTCCAGAATACCAAGGGCGCAGTCAGTCAGTCAGCTCGCTCTCTAACAAACCTAAGCGTAAGGGGCGTGGTAGGGGACTAAGTGTCTCCTTTATCGAAGCTCCTCCGGTCATTATTGGCGAGGGCGGGGACGATGCACCTACACCCCCAGTCGAGATCTCAAAGGCGAGACAAAGAGCTAGATCTGCATCACCAATGCCAAACCGGGGTCAGTCTCAATCGCGTGACCATTCGAGAAGTCCAATGAATGGGGCATACGAACAACAACGTGCTCCCCCTCCTCCCCCTCCTCGCTTGGCACATGCACCCCCAGACGTTCTGCGGCCTAGAATGCTGCAGCGAGTGCAAACAGGGAACTTTGCAGCGGGCACAATGGGGGCATCTGCCTTGGACAAAGAATTCGAAATGACGCTGCGGCTTGGGCCAAATGCAATCAACTCGCCGGTCAGTCCGGGAGGATCACCTAATACTCCAGAGCTCCTTGCTCCGAAACCGGTACGGGTCGTGCACCCGCCACTGCCAGTGTTGGAAGAACCGGCTCAACCCCATGTGGTCAAAAAGGAGATACCCAATGCAGATTTACGCAAACAGTTCAGAGAAGGGGATGCATTGCGCATGCATCTTGATAGAGAAGCGCCAGAAATCGTTGACACAATCGCCGCCGTCGGGCCGGTGAAGAGTGATGCCAACTCTGACTAGCAACAGTCTTCAAATTGGATATGAAAAGAGTCAACGTTAGCTGTCATACCCGCTACATCGATGAATCTGTTGAAATCTATCTTATTGCTCCATTGATCGCGTTCAGCGCCTTGAAGCCCTGGATCAGGTCGTCGAGCAAATCCTTCTCGTCCTCAATCCCGATACTAACCCTCAGGAGATCTTTCTCCACCGTCGAATCCGTCATTGTCCTCCACTCAATCAAGCTCTCAATCCCACCTAGACTGGTCGCGTGATGGAAGAGATGGAGTTTACTAGGCAGTGCCCTCGCTAACTCCTGGGATTTCAAAACCATGGAGAAGACCGGACCATAACCATTGGGCATTTGTTTCTTCAACCAAGTCTTGTAATCTTTGGTTTGCAGACTCGCATGATGGACTTCCTTGACAACAGACTTGATGATTTCTGCGTCAGACAGAGACAGGCCAGTGCCAACAGTGTGACCCGTCAGAGCGCCATCAAGAGCGTCAACTATCCTTCTTGCCGATTCACTCTGTTTCAGGACTCGGAGCTCTAGCGTTCGAATACTCCTCACCCCGAGCCATCCTTCCAAACCGCCCATCACGGAGCCCAGATACACTCGGTCCTGCAACATCTTAGGAATCCACTCCTTCTGTTTTACTGCCAACACACCACAAAGCATATCCGAGTGGCCGCCAATGTACTTGGTGCCCGAATGCATGACCACGTCTGCACCGTGCTTGAAGGGGTCCTGCAGGGGTGGCGGTGCAAACGTGGAGTCCACGCTGAGGTATGCACCTCGTGAATGCGCAACATCGGCGTAATGCTGGATGTCGAACGCCAGCCCTGTAGGGTTCACCGGTGTCTCTAAGTGCAGAAGATCTCCCTCTTGCAAATCCTCCGGCCTGCAGTCCAGTGGTAGGAGCTGCAGCCCGGAAAGTCGCTGATGGAGCCTCAACACACCGTGGCATCCATGATATCCCGCCCCAATGGCCACTCTCTTGGGATTCAAAAACGTTATCAATGCGTTGAATGCCGCGAGCCCAGAAGAATATGTCAGGCAAGGGTTTTTCAACAGCACGCCCAGGATCGTTTCCAAGCGTGATGTACTGTGTGTCGTGTGACGAGAGTAGTTGTGTTCTGTGGGCGCAAAAATGGGCTCAGCTCGTTCATGATATGGGCGCAGTTGCGAAGGGTTTTTGTCGTAACGGAAGGTAGTGGAGACGTGAATTGGAGGGGCTACATCGTCGACAACGTTGAGAGGGTCGTCAGCGTGGATGGCTAGAGTCGAAGGAGAGAGGGAGCCCAGGTCCAAGTGTTGGGACAGGCTTTCGATGTCGTGAGAATCGGCTGAGGCGGGCGCCGGTTGAGGGAGTTCGGAAGAACCATTCCCGCCATGAAGCAGTGTCCCGTTGGTGGCGGCCATACCTGTAGGATGTCTGTGAGACGAGATAAATCAAAGTCTATACCGAGTGGTAGAGGGAGAGTTCAGAGAAGAGCAACGTCAATGTGAAAATGAATGATTGGTACGCGCCCTCCCATTGACAAGTTTGTGGATAACGTGCTTGACGCTGGGATTTCGATTATTCAATGCCAGCAGCGGGGAAGCCCGTGTGTGCTGGTTGCTGGTTGCTGCGTATCGCGGTACCCGCTCTCGTCAATTGACGCCGATTAATTCATCTGAGGGGTGTCGGCGATGTCGTCAGAACAATTGTTATATAAGCTCGCTTTAACTACTGTTTGTAGGTGTTGTTGGGTGCTTGCTCTCAGGAACAAGGTGGGATTTTGAACGGCCCTAACTACCTAGCGAGCCATGTCGGCAATTGGCCTCTTCATTTGTTGTGTTACACAACGCGCATTTTTCAAGAGAGCTTCTCAAGTCGCCTACAATTTGCCCGGGTTAAACAACCATGAGCATAAGATGCTCAGATTTGTCGATGATACTAACATCGTGTCTTCAAGACTTTTGAGCAAGGGCCCCCGTGTCTGCTGTCCCTGCAGAGCATTTCTCATCGTCCCGAAGGATCGTTTCCACAATGGATGTGTTCATTGCGAACCTCGATTCCAAGGTTACGAGAGACAAGTTGAAAGATTCCTTGACTCCAATTCTCTCCGAATTTCAGATTCATGTCTTCCATGTTCAAAAAAAAGTCGGCAAGACGTTTGCGACACTCACAATTGCAGATTCCTCAAAAGCCCAAAGTCTCCTCTCCAGAGCTCGCGCCTCCCCAGCTCTCCTCTCCTCTCCGTCCGGACGACATGCAGTGTTTGACATAAGTAGAAGACCAGTGGATCCTCATTGGTTGCGTGTGCTGCGGAAAGAAGAGAAGGACCGACTGAACATCCAAGCATGGCAGAAGTCTTCGAAGCTGGCCGCAGAGATCCAAGCCCTTGAACGGGAGGCGGGGCTGAAAATCACAAAACTACAGTGTGGACGTTGGGAGACGATAACAGGAAGCACCGTATTCGTGCCCTACTTCGAACTTTGGGCAGAAGGCAGCCTTAGAAGAGACGGACGAGCACTGGTGATACAGGCCAACACGACTTCTTCCAAACGCCATGATCTCGTAATAGATCTGTCCTGCATACTCGCTTTCGCCCTAAGACGCACCAAGACCCCTAGTACTTTAATAATCACTCTGGCTGCTGCACCAAGAATCTACGAGAATGAGGTGCCTGCGACACCTGCGACCCATTCTGCATTGGCCGAGATGGTGGCCGCTTTACATCTAGGCTCGCAGCCAGTTAGGAGATTTCGTGAGTGCAGACTACCAGGGTTGGAGTCTGCCGTTGTTGGCAGTTGCTTGACATACAGCATGACCGTGTCGGTAGATGGCTTCAAGCTGGAGCACCGCATAAAGGCATTGACCCATCACCGATTTCCTATCACGATATTGCCGGATCACCTGGATGACCTTCTCCCTCCGCAACCGGTCAAGTTTGCGTCACGGTTGTCCGGGCTGGCAGCACATATCGCGAATAAGAAATGTTCCTTTGCATGGAGATTCCAATTACATGCATTATGGGCCAATGGCATTCTGTCTCCAGCAGAAGTCCAGTATCTCATGCCAGCCATGATGGATCTGCTTGCCCGGTCAGGCGAACAGACACTCATTGCGGTCTTGCGGCAGCTCAGCGTGCAGCTGTCTCATACCGACGCTAGCACCGATGCCCGGAAGGGTGGTGTGAGGGATGCCTGGAACACCCTTACACGAGAAGCAAGCCTTTTATTCGGATATGATGATATGCAAACTTCGGAACGAGATGAGGTCTCCGTTCACCGTGTCACAGTCACTCCTGCTGGCATCTATCTCTATGGTCCAGAATTCATTTCGTCGAACAGAGTCCTGCGACAGTATCGTGCACATTCTGATTGTTTTCTGCGAGTCCTTTTCTCCGAGGAAGATGAAACGCGGATAGAGTTCGATAAGGACACTTCTAACGAGCGGGTCTTTCGGGGTCGTTTCCTGTCAATTCTGCGTAACGGCTTAGATATTGCCGGTGAACACTTCGACTTCCTCGGGTTCTCGCATTCATCCTTGAGGTCACAAACATGTTGGTTCATGCGACCGTTTGTTCACGATGGTTCATTATTGTTTGCCAAAGACCTCATCAGCAAACTCGGTGACTTCAGCGTGATCAGATGTCCTGCCAAGTGCGCAGCGCGGATTGGTCAAGCCTTCTCTGAAACTACATACGCCGTACGGGTAGAGCCGAGCATTGTCCAAGTGGACCCTGATGTCAAGGTCGGACGTTACCTGTTTACTGACGGCTGTGGTACAATTTCGAAGTCAGTGTGGAAACGTCTCCGAGGCCATGTGCGCTCCCAGGACCAGCCTACCTCCTACCAGATTCGCTATAAAGGTGAGTAAGAGCCGATGAATAGGCTTTGCTGACTGTTTTGCAGGAGCCAAGGGGATGCTTACGGTCGATACACGCCTCCAAGGAGATCAAATTCGACTACGAGAATCAATGGTAAAGTTCTATGGTAGCCCTTCTGACGAGGTCGAAATCTGTAATACAAATGCTCGACCACTCCCTTTCAAGCTAAACCGCCAAATTATCAAAATCCTTGAGGACCTTGGGGTTCCTGCCTCGGCATTCGAAAGACTGCAAGAACAGGCCATACAGCGACTACGTCTCAGTGCATCCTCAAGATCCGTTGCTCTCAACTTCATCAGCGAACGCCTGTCAGATAGTAGCAGCGGCTTACCCAGACTTCTTAAGTATCTCGGGTACATTGGGATTGACGCCACAGAGGACGACTTTCTACGGGAAATACTTGGAGCGCTAATCCAGATTCAACTCCGCGATATCAAGTATCGAAGTCGCATTCTAGTCCCGGAGGCGCTCACGCTCTACGGGATCAGTGATGAGACTGGTTGGCTGAAGGAAGGTGAGGTCTTCGTCACTTTCCTTGCGGAGGACTCTGGGACCCATTCCTGCCTGAGCGGGCGTGTGGCTGTTACCCGGTCTCCTGCTCTGCATCCCGGCGATGTGCAGGTTGTGCAAGCTGTAGCACCGCCTCAGAGCTCCGCTCTCTGGAATCTTCGTAACTGCATCGCCTTCAGCCAGCAGGGTTCTCGTGACCTGCCCAGCATGCTGAGCGGCGGCGACCTGGATGGCGATCTCTACAACGTCATCTATGACGATGAGCTATTGCCAAAGAAGACTGTAGCTCCTGCGGCATATCTGCCTGCACAGCCCACTGATATCGGTCGTCCGGTCACTGCAGATGATATAGCGGGCTTCTTCGTGGACTTCATGCAAAATGACCAACTTGGCAGGATTGCTATTCTACACCAGGTTTTCGCGGACCTTGGCAGCACCTTTTCATCCAATTGTCTCCTCCTTGCAGAGTTACACTCAAATGCAGTGGACTTTTCAAAAAGTGGCATTCCTGTTGACCCCAAGAAGATCCCAAAGGCTCCCGCTTACAGACCTGACTTTATGGCTCCAAGTGCGAGTACCAAGGTTGAGAAAGGTATCAAAAGACCTGATGTGGATGTTTTCCCCAGCAGCGCTCGTCATTATTACTACTATGAGTCCGATCAAATCCTGGGTTGTCTTTATCGGGCTGTGAATGAGGATACATTTTTCCAGGATCTCGAGGATGATACTTCATCGCTATTCAGCAAGGCACCTACTAATGACGTGTTAAAAGACATCCGCGATTGGGTGGTGATTTACGTTGGGTACTCGCGCATCCAAGCTTTTCATACAATAGCGAGAGAATTCAGAGATTAGTAAGTTCTGCAGCAACTACGCCGATATGAGCTAATTTGCGCAGCTACGAGTCAAATATGCTGGAGATAATGTCTCGATATGCAGTCCGCCGGACCGACCAACTCACCGAGAAAGAAGTGTTCATCGGCACGATAATGGGTCGCTCCGGCGCAGGAAGCAAACTTCAACGAGAACAATCGGACTACATGAAGACTCAGTTCAATCGCGAACTCCGAGAAATCAAATCACGGATGGAATATCAGGCAACCGGTGACGATGATGATGACTTTGTTGGCCTCGCTGCTGCCTGTCTAGATGTAGCTGTGAGCGAGCCTAGCAGGTTTACTGTGAGGTTGAGGAGCTTTGGGTGGTTTGCCGCAGGCTTATGTGTCCCAGAGATCGTGAAGGAGAAGGATGGAAGCATCTTTAGTGCATGATAGGCGTGTCTTCGATAGTTAGTGTCCGATGAATTATGAACATGTTTGAGCTAATACCGGGTAGAAGAAGGTTTGGCGTTATGAAACTGAAGGTGGCCACGAAGCTGGCAACATAGTCTTGAGTGTGGGAAGGCGACAGTTTGCTGGGTCTCAGTTTGTGAAGCTTTAGAAATTCTCAATGTTCTCTTCAAGCTCGTGTGCTCAACTTTGGGTTGTGGTGCTAATGATGGCGATGACGAGGGATTTCCGGGATGAGGAACAGCCTGGCGATCATCCGTCGTGGGTCGTTTGAGCCACAAAGCGGCCCATCAGCCCCCGTCTTCTAGGCTATATAGCAGTTAGCTACTTCCATTTGCCTCACTGTAAGAAAGAGAGCTTTCACATGGTCAGAGTCAGCCGGCTTTGCATTCTTCCCAGGACATGGACTGCCGCTGGGACTCGCGCGCTTCATGATCCCGCTCTCAAGCTATTGATTCGTGAACGTGAGACCAAGACTGACGAGTACATCATGGGTCGTGTTGAAGAGACACCACAGAAGATGAAGGACATCAGCATCTCTCTCACTGGTGGCCGCCCCCGCGTTGAACCATATTTTCTCTCCGTGGCAGTCAAGTACAGTATAAGCTGGACCCCCCTCTGCCCGCAGCCAACCACGAAGACTCCTTAGTGCTGGCAGCCTTGCCAAGTCATTATGGTAATCACTCAGGTGCGCTGTTAGCCCCCACCTGGGTACTAGGACACGGACTTCTCCTTTTCCTTGTCCTCCCTTGTCCTCCCACCATCGCAATATCTCAAATACATATCCTTTCCACCAGAAGGAAAGCGTGCGACGGGCCAACGCTTTAGGAGTTTCCAACATTCAACGTTTTAATTTGCGAGAGGCTTTGGAATAGCTGTTGGACTTTGACTCTACGCAACTGTACTGTATCTTCGCCGCAGGAACGCCTTTCATGGCTTTGCTTCTCTGAAAGTCCTTGTCTCCCTATTCTGAGACACGGTCCTCCCTAATCATAGCCGCCCCTTTCTCCCCAATGGCATATACCGTGGCCATTGTGAAGGCGCTAAGCTCCATGGGCAACACGCTGGCATCAATGACCCTCAATCCCTCGACGCCCATCACTTTCAACCTATCATCGACCACTTTCCCCAATGCACATGTACCGAGCGGATGGTTGATTAGGGTTACGGCCTCACGCACAATGTCCCTCGCTGTGCTCGGATCATGGACGTCTCGCCCCTCAGCCGGGTAAAGGCGTCTCTTGACGCGGGACTTGATGTGTGGTGACCGGAAGACCCGATCCGCGAACGCGAGGCCGGCGGCAAGGACGTCAACGTCAGCCGGGTGCGAGAGGAGACCGTAATCGATTTCAGGCGGGGCGAAGGGATCCACCGAGGTGATGTGGACTGAGCCCCGTGAGGCAGGGTACATCAGGACCGCTTGAAGTGAGATACATGGGTTGGCAGGAGGATCAGTCGCGGGTGGGCCTGGCATGAACTTGGACATGTCGGCGTGTGCATTGAGGGTGTCACAGTAGGCGGGGATGACGATGAACTGGAGCGCCGAGGCAGTGGGGGAGGAGAGACGCGAAGCCAGGATAGCGGCTTGCTGGGCGTCAACTGGAGACGGGGCGGACGAAGGAGAAATGAGCGAGGAGACAGTCTGCTCCACTGTGCTGGCACCCACGAGCGAGGCATATGATGTGAAGCCATTCAGGCCTGGAGCGTTGGCCAAGACACCATCGCGCGACTGTGCGTACAGGGTTTGTTGAGCGGCCAGGAATGCGGGATCGAGGTAAATGCTATCCAAGCTGATGTCTCCGTCGCGAAGTTCGTAGATTACGTTCGTCATGACTTGTTCCTGTGCATTGGCGCCGACATGTGGGTTTTCAACCAGAGTAGGAATGCCTGCCGCGCTTAGGACGGAGACATCTCCTATGCCGGAGAGCTCCAACAGCTGTGGAGTCTGGATCGATCCGGCGCTGAGAATGACCTCTGCTTTGGCATGGACCTCATAGAACTGGTCCCGAGCTGCTCCGTATGCGAAACGCACACCACGGGCTCTTTTGGAGTCGTCGAGGATGACTTTGGTTGCAGTGGCTCCGGTCAGGATCCTGAGGTTGGGTCGATCGAGTATCGGCGCGATGTAGCCTGTTGCTGCGTAGCTGCGGGTGCCCTTGTTGGTGCTGCGGTCAATGGAACTCAAAGATCCGTACCAGCCCTGGTGTTCGCCCGAGTACGGCTGCTTGGCCAGGGGGAGGCCAGAGGTCTCCTTCAGGGCTTCGAGAACTGCGTCTTCGGCAGGGATCCTCGTGGTCGCGAACGAGGCGTGAATCGGGCCCTCTCCGCCGTGGATTTCAGGATCAATGCTGGGATAGAAGTGCGGTTCTGGGTTCGTTGGAGGATCGTGATGGTCGACCTTGTGGAAGTATGGAACCATCTCGTTCCAAGACCATCCTGCAATGCCCAGCTCTTTCAAGTCGTCCAGGTCGCGAGCTGAGGGGTAGCAGTAAGCCATGAAATTAATGGCGCTTGATCCTCCCAGCACTCTGCCGCGGGTTACATGGTGGGATTTGTTGCTGTTGGCTTTCTATTTCGAGTTCCACCAGTGTCAGTTTCTTTCAGAATATCTCTAAGCAAGGTCTCTGAATTTATCCAGCACGTACCTGAGGCACCGTCGTGAAATCCCAGGCGTAGTCCGGATTCCTTAATAGGAATGCGAGGGTTCCTGGAGTCTCGATTAGAGGGTCTCCGAGGCGGTTCTGGCCTGCTTCAATGACTCCCACACGGACACTGGGATCCTCGCTCAAGCGGGCTGCAACGACTGCGCCGGCGGTTCCACCGCCCACGACGACATAGTCGAAGTCGGCTTCAAGAAAGGTCTCGAGAGAGCAACAGACTCCTGAGTCTGTAGGTTGTTTAGATCCCATCTCGTCCTGATAGATAGCTCCTATAGTTGAGATGAAATATGCGGCGAGGACTAAGTGATATATGTTGTGACAGGGATCAACCTTGCTCCACGCCACACATCACGGTGGGCAGGCTGTGGCAAAGTCAGGGGCAGCAGCCTGTTTGAATTCAGTATGGCCATTTCATGGGTAAGCGGCGCACAAGGTAAGCACGCTATAAGAATAAGGAATCAAGGCCCAGCAGAATTTTGTGGGGTTGCTGATGATTGATCGATATTTTGATTGGAGGGCGCTGTCGCCTCTCGGTTAAATTGTAACATGGTGATATTTGGGATCTCACAATGGGTGACAGAGACAGATATCGTGCTGACTAAATGAGCGGCTTGATCCGTCGCCTTTCATTGTGGGCCGGCTGCTGTTTTAGTGGAATGGAGGAGCCGAGAGGCAGATGGAAAGATTGAGTGCTGGTAGAATAGCCATGTTGCGCAACGACGCGAAAGGACTTACCATCTATTCCCCATGGCTGCTCTCTCTGCGCGGGCCGTGCCATGACATTTGACAATACTTACCTGATCGAACCAGCCGAAAACCACCGTGACAAAACCTTGCTTTCTGATCTGAGGGTCTCGAACAATGATGGTACCCACCAGGCCTCCATTCTCGTCCCACTCACTGAGCAGGTTATGTCCCTCGAACGGCGCCAGATCCACCTATCCAAGATGAGCAATTCCGAGCCCCAGGACATAGAGCCAAACGTGCTCGGATATAAGCTCGCTCGGTTCGGGTTCATTCACTTTCCTCTTTGGATATGCCTTTCAATCGCTGTCTCAACACTGTGAACGATGGACTTATCCTCCCCAGAAAGTCGTTTCTCCGAATGGTGAGGATTCTATTTCCGCGGCGGTAATAGGTCCGCGCCTTCAAATGCCACCTCTGCAGGAGAACGATGGTTTTTGACTTCCACTTCTGAAATTTTAAAGATGGTCCTACCTAATTTTCGTGGCATGTAAAAACAACTTGGCCGCATTCCGGACGTTGTTCGTCACATGACATTCGGTGCAGCCCGGAGATATATGGAGCTCTCTGTAGCAGCCCATGAGCCACTCAGCGTGGTGCGGACAAGGAAGACACAAGGTACACTTCGAAGAGAGGTTATGTACGCGGTGCAAAACCCCTTCAAGGGCGAGGAAGGTTTCCCGTACTGGTTCGCTGTGTAGGCTCCAGTCACGTGAGTGCATGTGATCCGGCAACCTCGCCAGTTCTAGTGATTCACTGGCCCCTCTCGGCGACAACTTTTCTGGGCCTACAAGTTGAGAGGGAGGCTTGCAACGAAAGTTCCCTCCCAGTCGACGCTCACGAAATGATTACAATAGTCTGAAGGACAAAAGAAACACCTAGCGCTCAACACCCTGAAAACTCATTCCGGAGAGATCCGAGTGATGGTGTCTCCAATTAGCGAAGTGAGATCGATAACCAGCACACTGCAAATTGTGCCTGCGCAAGAAGGCAACCGAGATTCTTCAGTGAAGTCACGACGCCCGGGAGAGAAATGCACCTACCTACTTCTTTCAGCCCGCCATGACCTTTGACAACTCTGAGACCGTGGGCTGTGATCAACTCTGGCCGAGTGGCGCAGGCGGCTTAGGGCTAAAGCCAGAGAGACCGGGCAATGATCGGTGCATACCCAGTACAGGTGCCTCCACGGCGAACTTGAGCTGAGCCGCAGCGCGCCTTGTCGCCGTCTGCCCGCAGGAAACATGCTTAGTTGTGTACGGGATATAAAACCCCATATGTCTGAGCAGCCCCAGTGCTCCCGCTCTACATGCTACGACCACCCGATCCTGTCTACAATATCTCTCTGGACAATATCCACGCATTTTCGAAATGGCTTCCACTTGGGTGCACGATGTCTTTTACTCTTTTTGGGTCGTCGCTGTTCCCTTTTTCAACCTGAAGGAATTAGGTCTGCTTTTACAAGAGAATGTCGCGAATCCGCTCTGTTGGACTCTGTTAGGCAAGTCGGATCTACCTCCAATCACGTATCGCATACGAAAATACGTGTTGAATGGAGACGCAATGGAAACATGGAGATTGAAAAGTTCTTACAAAGAGACGTTCGCCTTGGAAGCCGTTTCGGTGAGTCCTTCGGTTTGAAACAATGCGTCTTAGGCATTAATATAGCTGTACATCACATCTAATCAGAAAATCTGTTGAAAGGCTCTGCCATTATCGCCCAAATTGCCATTACTATGCCCGGCCTTGCCAACTTTGGCACAATCCACTGGACTGCCACAGCCTTTGCATATACGAGTCTGGTGTATGGCCTTCTGTCGACATTCTTTTCATTTTATGTTCAGCGGACTCTGGGCGAACTGCACAGCCCGGAAGATGTTCAAGAGTGGCTCACATCACCGCGAAAACGAAACAAACTTGCCGATCTCTTCAACAGGGTTATCGTCGGTCGCCACCCTCTCCTCTGTCTGTGGCCAGCTGGAGACGCGGACAGAATCCCCTCGATCACAGCCGCCGCAACTCTGACAGCACCTAGCAAACTGCTCGCCCCTTCTATCATCTCCTTGTTTTCCGCCTTGGGGATTTACCTCGGCAGTATGTACACTGCGGGATTGGGCATACTGAAAGGTAGCAATGCCAACCTAGGCGCTTGGCTCTTCTTCATCATCTCCTCATCTCTAGCTATTTACGAGGTGTACCTGCCACTGAATAGCAAGCGCCTAGAGCAAATTGGCGATTCGTCGGCGCACGACCCTAGGAACCAAGCTCTGGTCCAGGAATCGAGCGATAGTAGCCTTACTATTGAGCCGAAGGCGGCCGTTACTCCCGCCGAGACTTCAGAAGCAAGAGATCTTATCAGAGACGCGCTGAAGGCTTCAATTCGTGCACAAGAGGAAGGTCTCAAAGCGCAAAGGGCACTTCTGGAGTTATTAGATTCACGATCTGGGTTGACGGAAAGATTTTCCTTCGATAGCAGCTAACGCGGTTAGGCTGAGCAAGCGTGAATACGGCAGCGATCTAAAGGATATATACGTTTGGACTTCAAGGCTTGAGTATGATTCCCTCACCCATTTCTGTCTCCTGCTTCAGGCCCTTCTCAGCCGCCTCAGCGAAATCTTTCAAAAAGAGCCACCTTGCCTTTTCATTCAGACGCTTCGCTTTCCAATCATTCAATGTCCCGTGTGGGAAGAAGTCAATCTCGGCTTCCTTCTGAAGGAGAAACGTGTCGTGAGCAATGATCACAAAGACGTTGTCTGCGGCATCAAACTCTTCAAGATACTGAATCGTCAAATTCGCTCGGTCTGTATCGTGGGAAAAGTTCTTGGCTAGTATGTAAACTTCTTGGTCGGGTTGATGGTGGTTGAAGACGTCGCAAAAAGCAGCTCCGCTCAGGCTGCCTGGACAAAATCCTCGCGACTTGATCGTGCTCGAACTCATATCCAGATCAATCTTCTTCGGGAGAGGCAGGTATTTGGTGGGACGGTACTCTCCACCATGGTGACAGGCATCGCCGCCCATGAAGATGAAACTATCAGGCGTCACTCGTGCGAGGCCGCAGACATGGCCAATTGCGTGGCCTGGTGCGTCGACGATATAGAAAGAGCCGTCGCCAAAGTAGTCCAGGGCTTTGAACCCGCCCACGGTAAGGTCACCGGAGGCGGAGAAGTCAACCTCTACCAGCTCCCGTCCCTGCCAGTCCGTCTCGAGCACCTGGCTGGTTTGATTCACCGGATACCCTGGTGTGAGAGCATCTTTGAATCCCGGACCGACGATCAACTTCGTCGATGAGGGAAACGTGCTCGGGTCGCCGGTATGGTCGTAATGCCAATGGCTCCAGATGATGGCCTCGATGCTCTTGAGATCCACGCCTTCCCCAGTCAAGATTTCAGAAACGTTCTTCTCAACCGTCAGGCCCCATTTGTGGTCTTTGATGATGTTGACAATGTTGGGGGCTAGATTCTCCCAATCCTTCCGTGTGCCGAGGTCAAAGAGTATCTTCCGGCCCAGCGGGCCATGTTCGATGAGAAAACAGTATGACGGGCACGAGAGCTTGTCGTGGCCCGGGATACCAGGGCCCATCAACGATCCCAATGGCACATCGATCCAGGATGTGCTGTCGATTATCTTGACGGATACGGTTGAGTTTGAGGGAGGGATATTGAGCGCCGGAGGTGTCTTGGGCGGGACCATATACATACTGGCGTCCTGGTTGGAAGGCATCTTGCAATACGGCAATGACAACAGTCAATCTGTCTGGCGATGCAGTCGGGTGTAGTGATTTGAAGGGGAGACGTCAAAACGGCCTATTTATACGCTGTTAAATACTCTCGACTGGCTGTTCCAGCTAAATATATATATAAAAATATATATCTCCAACATGTAGGCGCGCAAACCCCTTCAACCGGTCTGTCATTTCGGAAAAGCAATCTCCAGCGCAAGATCCCCCGCGACCGTGTTCTCCTCCTTCTCTTTTCCCCACTGGAGGCATTTGGTTCCCCTCAGTCCCAGTTCGTCCCCTTACCAAGGAGACTTTTTTTTTTTTCAAAAAAAATAACAAACAAAACCAGGCATTATAGATCATGGGACCATACCTATAGCCTAATCCAAAGCTACTATAGCCGAACATCTCATATTGAAGTACACGCCGGAGAATAATGTACGTTGCCGAGAACGATCAGAGCAAGAGAGCGTTTTGGCTCTCTCCATTAGCCAGCAGATACAACTTTTACGAGGGATCCGCCACCCCCAAAACGCCGGTCAGAAAAACGACAGGGCCCGCCAGCAAGCCGTCCGAAGAGTCGGGGATTATATGTAGCTTTCCAATTCGTCCCCAGAAGAATGTTTAACGATCCAACTTTGGCATTCCATTCCAATTATTGACCTTGTCCATCGAGCAGCGGTTTCAGCCTCTTGACCATTCCATCAAGATTGTTGGATATTACATTACAAGTCGCTGGAACGAGGTAAGTTAGTCAGATACCATTCACCAGGTGGGGTTTCGATCCGGGCAGGGGATAGGCGGATCAATATAATTCACTCCGGAGCAACCTACCAGGCCAGACCCATCTCTCCCTGATCATGTCCCTGTAAATCATGATTGGCAGCAGCTCTCTTTGGATCGGTTTTTCGTATTTATATTCGCTTTCGGCGACGATCTCGTCCATCATGCTGGTGATGACGAGCTCTTCAGGGCCGGGAATCTCCGAGAGGTGCCGACCAAGGAGGTACCAGCACATCAACAGACCTAAATTCATGTCAGCGCGGCTCTGTTGTACCTAAGGACTGGGGGCTCTCTCTTTTGCCGTGAGAACTTACTTCCTTCATAAGCAGCCAACGGAGCATAGCATGGGTAGTTCAAGCACGAAGTCTTCAGCAGGTAGCCCAGTCCCAAGCGGACACGGACCAGCAGACACCTGCAGGCTCGGACTATCGCTTTCATCAGGTCAGGAGGATTGTCGAAGTGATAGAGCCTTCCAATCCGACTTCGAGAAACCTGGTCGACTGGTAGCAGGGCGAGCGCCTTCATCTCGTTCATTTGAACGTTCGCATATAAACGGTAATATGCGGAGTTGAGAACGACAAGCGCATCGGCCATCAGCGGGCCCTGGGGTGCATCCGGGACAGTAGTCGCATGTGGATGAGTTCTCCACGCCTCTTCCCATGTATGCAGCGCCAGTTTGAGGGATTCTTCATCCGGAGGTGGCGCCGCGACCGTGCCTGCATGATTCCCCAGGCGAAGTGTGCATATATGGGAGAGAATGACACTGATCAGTGTCAACAGGCCGAACGGACTAATCGTGTCGTCGAGTGGAGTCCCCGAGAGAAGTTGCCTGAAACAATCCACTGAAGAAGTCGTCACTCGTGGTGAATTCTGCCAGCTGATGCCGCCAGCCGACCACAATTCCTCCGAGCAGGGCAGCGCTCCATCAAACTCGGCGTTCGAACTCCTCAAGACCGCATTATCTTCGTTACAGAGCAAGACTGCTCTGAGGACTGTTGTCCAAGCCACGCACCTGGCCAAGTCAGTGGGGGAACGGAAACGAGGATAACAAACAAATATGCAATAGAAAACTTGTGAAATACTCACCTAATCATACTCTCGCGAAACACCCAAGCTGCCCAGTCATTCGCAGAAACTTTTGTGGCCTCCACAGAAGCTTCGCGGCCAAGCTATGGTGGATTAGCTGGCGCATCATTACAAGACTAGGCCAAATTGTCGGAATTGAAGACACGTACCACGTGGAGCCTGGTGAATGACAGACGAGCCTGCCGTTGAATTCGACTGTCGCCTCCAAAGAGCCCGAACTGGCAGGTCAGGAGTCTCGTCTGCAATTCCCAGAGTTGAAATCCCGAGTCCCTTTGGCCGGCAATTACCAGATCTTCGTTCTGCGATGCAGCCCAGGTGTTAGATCTTGGGTCATTGACGGTTCTAAACTTGGGTACGAAATGTCCATTTCTTGCATACCTCGCTCAACAGCTTCAAAACCGCGTAGTATAACCGGATGCTGACCTCTTGTTCGTTCAGGTAGACAGCGCCGCACGCCATGACAGCGAGCAAAAGAGGTGCTAGTTGCAGGCATAATTAGAGCTGAGAGCGCGACTATAGCTTCCGGTCAGAGAGGATCCTTTTTCCTACCTTGAATTGTACTGATCGAGAAGGTTTGCGGATGGATAATCGGGCAATGTGGCGTAAAGTGCTTGAAAAATCCTCGCACGAGCCTGATCACCATATAGTTTGTGGGAAATACGAAATCGCTGAGTCGATTCTCGATGTCAAAGAGTTGTAGGTTGGCCTTTGCCTGTTCAATTTCAGAGGGAATCAATCCCAGGAACAAACCAGAAGACTGGTATTCTCCGTTGTCTGGATCACCATTCCTTGCTGATACGTTCCTGGTGGTGTCTTCTGACCACGGAAGGGCGTAGAATGGTTCGTCCCATGGCCATTGGATAAAAGCATCATCTAGGAGCTGGAAGTTCATCTGAGGCTGAGGAGCGATTTCTGCATTTGCAGCGGGGGCTTGCACACGGTCCAAGATTGGAGCTTTCCATCCTCGATCCAGACTAAGCTCAAAGGCGTTGATGTTGGCGCCAACGGCGGCACTCTGTGCGTTCAGGAGCGTGGACAGCGAAGGGAGAACCTCGGGGATGACCTGGTTATTCGCCAAGTTGTTCGTATCCCTATTGTTGTTGTCGTTTGGTTGGTGCTCTTCCGCGATCTGGCCGTTTAGATCAAAATTGGAGTCGGTGGATGATGCGTCTGGATTAATGCAAGGCACTTGTCCTGCATGTGCGTCTGCTGGCCTTCCAGCTCCACGATGAAGAACTCTCATGTGTCGCGAGATGACATCCTTGCGTGCAGACGTGAGACCGCATATTGGACAAGCATGTGGTCTCTGCCACCGATCTGCTCGGATACCATTCAATTGGTCAGCTCGGCAACTTACCAATAGTGACATGTTCAAAGGGGATCTCGAAAGATTTGCTTACGACCAAGCTCGTGGCGTCGACAATGCTCCTTTCGCGTGAAGGACTCTCCACAGACGTTGCAAAGATAGCGACGTTCTTTCTGGCTTCGCGTCACGCCGTTCCTGCGCGGCTTGAAGAATCTCAGTTCCTCTGCCAGTGGGGCCCAAGCAGTGGGAAAGGCTGCCACAGCTCCTGTGGCCATGGTAGCTGATTTCTTAGGTAGCTAAGCTTGAGTGGGTGAGGACTAGGGAAAAGACAACAACAAAATGCTCTGAGCGGAGAAGGGACAAACTGCTTGCCTCGGGTTTCGGGTGACATTTTCAGGGACGCCCATTACCCCAGAGGGGTCCACCCGTAGGCAAGAGCTGGGGAATCAAGCAATGGGAAGTCCTGGCCAAGTCCTATGCCTAAACATTTTAGTCCTGCCTATGTTAGGGTTGGTCAATGGATAGATTGACCCCCTTTTTTCGCGGGGGAAACCTGGACCCTGGAATCTGCCGAGTGGGGATTAATT